TCTCTCTCTCACACACACACACACACACACACACACACACACACACACACACACACACACACACACACACACACACAATGAGGAAATGGAGGCTAAAACTGTGTGCAGGATTCCTCACATTCTCTCAGCTCTATTTCAGCTGCAATTTCTTCTTAACAAAGTTCGTTAATAGCCAGACCCCAACACACACAAGCTTTCAGACAGACACACACACACACACACACACACACACACACACTCTCTGTGGTGAGTTTGTGTTTAGTCTACCCTGCTCTCTGCCCCAGTTGGTGCTGGTACAGGATTCAAATGCACAAACTGTGATACATCCATCACTTTGCCCAACAAGCTACTGACATCTGAGAGTAAAACAGTTATCAAACAACAGCAAGAACATATTAAAAGGGAAATTAAAATGAATTCATAAAAGGACAACCATTGATCAACCATATAAATATTTAATGGATTACGTGGTGCAATAAAAACAACAATAAGATTATAAAAGCATCAGTCACAGGAAAAAAACAAAAGTTACAGTAGTTTTTGTGCAAATGCAATTCAGTTTTGCTCACTTTCTGTGAACACCCTCAAAACAAAATGTGGAAGTCAGTTTGGCACTTTTTTTATTTCTCGTACACTAGCGTTATGTTTTCCTTTGCTTTGGACGGCTTGAAGAAAGGGGAGAAGAAATGAGCCCTTGACTTTTTTTCCGACAGATCTAATTCTGCCATCACGACATCAGACCCCTCCCAATCCGACACGACATCAGACCCCTCCCAACTCGCTGTGTTTTTGACACGAATAACAACAACCTTTTTTTGAACACGACTGTGCGGCCATCCGGTGTGTTGCTACGGACAGAAGATATTAATCACAATTCCCCCCCCCCGTCTTCTTCTAAAACACGCAAGTTTTAAGGGCGACTCTTTAATCTCAGGAATGGAAATAATAAATAAACCTGAGCAAATTCCTCTCGCTGTCTTAGAGGGGCCTGTGATTCCCTTTTAATCCAAACAATTGGTATCAACATTCCCCCGTGGCCTGAGAAATATGAAATGTTAAAAATCCATTTTCAAGCCAATTGTCCATCAAGAACAAAATATCATCCTGAAGTGCATAAATTCCACAATCCTTTTGAACACTGGAGCCAATCTTCAAAAGTAAAAAAGAACAAAGAACTCTGCGCAATCTCATCGCAGTGCAAGAAAAATACATTTCCCCTCCTTTATAAAAAATCAATTAACACCAAACTTTGTTTTTGTCCTATAACTTCAGCTACAAAATGGCTAGCCTCCACACACAGGATGAAGACACCGGGGTGCTCAGTCTGCCAGAGGGTCAGTCACACCGAGGGGCTTGTGGAGGGCTCTTTGGGCCCCCATTGTGCAATAAGTAGGGGTCACCCAACAATCTCAATCCTCGTTTTGATTATCTACTGTGAGCGTCAATACATCTTAAGTATATAACTGTACGCAGCCCATATTTCAACATCTTTTTGGTCAGTTTGCGAGAACACCTGAATCTCCCCGAGCCCTCCGGCGGCCCCCCCCCTCTGTGACCTCGCCAACTTTACCCTCTGACTTAGGAAAACACATTGCTTTTAAAGAACGACTCTATGGATTCCTTTCACCAATACTGTTGAAGGACGGATCCTGACAACACCTCCCCCCCCCCCCCGTGACAGGGAGGGTGGGGGGGCTCTGAACGCAGCTTTAATCTCTGCTTTTCTTAGCCGGAGCCAAGGCACTGCTGGATCAGAGAAACCTGACATCCATCAGATTCTCTTTTTTTTTTTTTTTTACTACAAAATAATTGCATCTGATTTTTGTTGTTTTTTTGTAGCTTGTGCGAGACGAGACCTTTTTCTTGCATCTAGAATGTTCAATTCACAGTCTTACAAAAATAGTATTTGTCGATTCGAGGTAATTTAATTTCTCAGCAGATACGTAAAATAAATGTGATTCTTTTCTCTTTGTTGTACCAGTTTGGTGAAAGGCAATTGTTTTTTTAAGAATACATGTGGTATTATATTTCACACGACATCTCAACACATGCAAAAAGTGTAAAAGTACTTGTGTATACGTGTTAGTGGTAATTTGATTTCAATATCACAAACATCTTACATAACCCTCAACTCTTTAAGGACTTTTTGATTTCTTAGCCAATTATATTTATAGTTTCTCTTCTCTTTGACATGTGTTGCAGGTTTCTAAGTTGTGAAGCCTTCAGTCTCCCAAACATCAGCCTCAAAACTATTTCACTGTCAATCAAGTGAACTCTCTGCAGTGTTACATAACGGCAGAGCGACAGCAACTGTTGTTCAAAACAAACTGCTCCGAGAGTGCATCCCTGAAATGCTAAGAGGATCCAGCTTAAAAAAACTGTTATCATTCTGTCAACAAAGGATTTATGTTACATCATTCCATGTCCACTTTGACAAAAAAGCATTGTAATCCGCTTGCATTACGTTCCATCTATAATTTGGGAGCAGATTTTTTTCTCATTTTGCAAAACCTTTCACATGTTGTCAATAACTTTAATAGAGCTACAAGCACTCAAAGGCAGCATCCAGCAGACCTCATAACACAAGCTGTGAGAGATGGAGAATTTAGCAGCCCATTTGTCCTTAAAGAGCTATTTGAGGGTACAGTGAGTACAATGTATGAAAACAAAGGGAGGGTACAATTGCACTTATTTCATAGAGTAAACGAGTGTAAGAGGGGAGCTAATGGAATGAGGAACTTGGGGTGAACTCCTCTTTAGCTGGCTGGAAGGGTTACACGTTAGAGGCATGTTACATGGCTATGTTATTTGCTATTCTATGCACTGTCATATTGTTATAGACAGTGGCACTTGGAGCACAGGATGGTATGGCTTCAGATCCAAGTGGATCTGCTGGGGGGACGGATGGGGCCAGCAGTGTCAGGTTGGGTTTGGAAATATTTGAATTTACGCAGATCCTTTCGGGTCATCTGGGGGAAAAGAACTTGCTAACAATGTTATCACTCTTTGTATGTCTGCCAGCCGTAAACAAATGATCGATTAATTTGACTGGCTGCTGACAGCACTGACATACAGACATGCAAAACATGACAATCGCCAGCATCGTGAATGACAACCCAAAATAAACTAAGGTCACCACAGATCTAAAAATATCTCAGATAAGAAGCTAACGGCGTCAAATAAGTGTTCAACTCACCAGCAAGCACCCCCCCCCCCCCTCTGCTAAGGAATAAATATGCTCTTGGCAAAAACACCCTTCCTCTCTTATCTCAGAGATAGTACTCATTAGTAATCTCAGGCACAGCGTACAAAGGCCTATGCAATATAGTATGTGCACATTTCTAAGCGCACTTAAATGTTCCTTTGTCAGTATTATTTCACTCAATTTAGCGCCACTTGAACCACAGATTGTTAATCAGTCTCCATGTTACACTGCTGACCCCATAATGAATGAAAGCCATCAAATCTCCACAGATTAGAGCAGGGTTCCTACACATTCTCAACTCCGACCAATTCATCTTGCTTTTACTTTGAAATGCTGGTTCAATATAAATGGGTCTTATGCGACCAAAATATGCAGCTGCACCAAGTACGACAACACAGGTTACCAAACACATTTCAAACCCTGTGAAGGAACCCTGATAGGATGAAGACATGCATAGAACATCAGTGTGACACACGAACAAACAGTAGCATAACTGCTCATTAACATTAAGTGTAATTCTCTTCGACACCCCAGATACGAAGCCTTACTCATGTTTACCCAGACCTAACCAACCCAATCTAGGTTTACCCAGATATATTTTGTTTCCCTTGTCTAACCCATAAGTAGTGACCCAAAATATTAAAACAAAACAAAGGAATGGTCACACTTAATAGAAACGCAACAATAAATAAACGTTTGATGGGAATGATGAACCGAGTGATCCACACCTGGCTGCAGTGAGGCTTGGCTGAACTTTCTGTGTCTACCTGGTTTCTCACTGTGAAGTAGCAGCATTATAAATACTGAATTCAGTGCTTTAAGAGAACGTTTGTGTGTGACCATGTGACCTCAAAGTGTTTCTTGACAGCCTCAGCTGTTTTATATCCACAACACTTTGGACTGCATTTGGTTTTATTGCACTTTCATCAGATTCACTTTAGAAGTCTTAAAATAAAGCACTGGGATGGCGTTTAGCTATGTGATTAATGGCATCATTCATCAGTTGTGTGCAGCCAACAGGCTGTTCAATGTTTACAGCTCTACGGCCAAGCGCTCCCTCTGCTGCAGCGTGGCACGCAGACAAGATAACAGGTGGGCCGTGGATTGGGTGACAACAGAGGAGGAGCGATTCTTGAGAAACCCCACCAGGGAGCCCACCAGAATCACACGGCTCTCCATGGCTGTCCAGAAATAGAGGCATTAATTTGCCAACTGTGATAAACAGAAACGCGCGAGCTGTACGAGTGTGTGCTCGGAAATTCCCTTCAATTGTGAAAGTCTCGTAGCCTTGGCTAGCGACGTAATCACATCGGTTTAAAGATGGAGTCTTGTGTTGCGTAATGTTTCACATTTGTTGTGAGCAAGTCTCATCTCTTGACAAACATGTCTTAATTTGAATTGCCACAAGTGACCCATATCATTTTGTCCCTTTAATATGATAACTATAATGCATAACTCGCCAAGGTGCTAACTGGGCAGTAGGAAGTACGGCAAACTGCTTCTGATTGGTCATGTAATTGTTTAAAAGATAAACCCTTTGATGATACCACATTAGGAAACAAAGTGACATAGATAATAAATGGACTTCTGTGTGACCACACATTGACCATAGTGGTGGAGCGTTCAGTACATAGACCCGGTGCCCTCCCTGCCCCCCCCCCACCCACCCACAGTGTTTCCCTCAGAGTTAAATGACAGATGGAGGCAATGGACATACAGACAGATTCAATCAGGGATCAAACAGGTCAGGCTGACCCTGCAGCTCCAGCTGACGGTTGAATTGCTCCACCTCTTTGTTGGCCTCGGTGATGTACTCCTGGATAAACTCTTCCATGTCTGCGGTCAAAGCAATGTAAGGAAAACAGCAGAAAATCTCCAAAGCAGAATGCGAAATAAAAGAAATCATCGAGTTCTACCAACCACTCAATTACATGCACAGTTTTTCATGATCACGTGCTTCTCAGGGTCACAATATAAGTAATGCAACAGGCAGGTTTCTCTCCTTTGTGTTGCCTTTTAAATCAGAAACATCATCAATATGTCAAGTAAGGCTGCCACAATATCAGACTTTTGCTGCACTATTACCACGGCTAGAACCATTCAGGTCATGATATGACTGCGATATGTGTAGAAATATAAAAATAAAAATAATTTGGTTTTTTAGAGATTTAAAATAATATTTATAATGCTGTTAGTAACATTTGAATTCAACCTGTTCCTTGTGCATTCCACCCTGACATCATTGTTATTTTTTTAGACATCATGTTTATCGTCAAAAACGCAACACCCTGATCTCCAAGCTTGAGAGACAAACTAGATGTAGTCAAGGTTCTAATCTACAATACACCGTGGCGATTAGAAAAAGGATACAGGGATGGAAGTTCATTTTTTCTCCAAAGATGTCGACATATTGATAACCGTTGTAGAAGAAGCCTGGCGGCAGGGGGTCCAGGTGCCTGGTCATCTGAAACACATAATATCAAGTCATTTCCTGAAACAGCCCACATTTCAACCAACACAAACTCCAAAAAAAATAATCTAAGAAATATCTCAGTTCAAATCAAACCACAACTGATAAATGTCAATTGAGGAGTTCTCGTAAACAAACAGTTGTATTTACATGTATTGTCAGTCAAAGACCATATGCATGTATTGCTGGGGTCTATCCCATGTGTTGGAGTAACTGTCGCCCCCCCCACCTGCCACATTTCTAACAGCCATCAAGCCTTAACCAGCAGCTGGAGAGTGCAATGAGTGCATGAGAGTCATTTAATATTGGTGCAAGCTCATAAAAACATGAGTAGCTTTATTTCTTGTTCCATCCACACCATTGGGAATTATCAAATGATATCATAATGATAAGTATAAACACACTCACATGTATGCTCTTGATTTCTTGTGGTGAGAGAGTACTTTTTGTCTTCTTAGGTTTATTTGTCTGCCTCTGAAAACAACAAACAGAAAAAACAACCACATGAAGACAACAACGTATTTTCTTATACAGCACTTTACTGATGGCGCCCATTATAGAATATATACATGAGTCTGAGCACCGTGTGCTGCCATCAAAAACAGAAAGGTTATTTAATATAGGCTTTGAGTAAAATGCTTGTGTTTGCGCAAACTAGGGAGGAATAGCTAAGACCAGTGTGTTTTTGGTGAGATTAAGACCATCCTTGTTAATCAGACAGGCTCCCACACTGTCTGTTTTTAAATCCCGTCTTAAAACCCACCTCTTCTCCTTAGAATTCGTAAATAAGTAGATTGTTGCTTTTATTTGCTTTCAGTGGTCTATTGTTTTTATTATATGGCTGTTTTTAAAAAAAAATTATTATTACGTTTATTCTGGTTTGTTTTGTGTTTGTATCTTTTATTTTAAATGTATTTATTTTATGTTTTGTGAGCTTATCTCTCTGTACAGCACTTTGGTCTGAAGGTTTTAAAGTGCTATATAAATAAAGTTGGATTGGATTGGATTGGATCCTGGCCCAAATTACAAGGGGGTGCCAGATCCCGCAGCCATTGATGAAAGCATTGCAATATTTATATAATTGCAGTAATAAGAAGTCTTTAGTGACAATATCATTATTTAACATTTTATTAAAAACTAGGCACAGGAAATGCAAAGCGTTTGTCAGTGAATTTGATACACGCGTATGCATATCAAAAAACAAGACAATGGTCCTTTGGGGCATTCTTACAGCATCTGTTCGATATCTTGCCAGGAGTAATTGAACAGGAGCAGCCACAGTGAGAACTTGCACTGTTCACAAACTCATGCAAAGTAAATGATGGACGAAAAGCCAATTATTGCCTAATATATATTAATACGAAACCTGCCGTATTAAACCCACTTCCTGTTACCACCAGTAGATATGGTGTTGTCAAATTAAACAGGACTTCATTCTTAATGCGTGGCACTTTAAAAGTTTACCTGTTTGGCACACAGTCTGAGCCAGTCCTTCAATCCATCCGCAGTGAGGCCCACACCATCAAAGACCAGGAAGCAGGGGGTGTCGGTGTCTTTGGGGCCCGGGATCAGAGGGACAATGCTCAGGCTCCCGCTCACTGTGTTGTAGCTCACCTCCATCAGCTGCTCTGAGTCTGGAGGTTCCAGAGATGAAGGAGCTCACATCAAGTAGCACATGCATTCACACCTTGTGTTACACCTTCTACAGCAGCGTCATATGGAAACAGCATGCTGTCGGTGGGGTGTTAATGTTTCAACCTCTCTGTTCCAAAAAGGACTCACAGAACTCACGTGTGGTAAGAATTATAAAATTAAAACATGTGCTTACTCAACTTGAAATATGTATTACAGTAACATACAAAAATAACTAATACATGAAGTAAAACTAAATATAAAGTGATGTAAATCATATGGTACCCTTAAGACATTGACTGACACTAAGGGGATGTAGGTATTAGGATAAGGATGGTACAGTACAGTCTCCACATTCGCTCCATACTGCTGTATCCTCTCGCCTCTCTACAAACATCTGCACATTCTCTGCACATCTCCTCACAGACACCTGCACTCTCTCCTCATGCAACAACGCTACACAGGTCGTCAAAAGAAAAAAGAGTGAGAAAACTATGAGGAGGAAACTAAACCGGTGGACTATGAGCTGAATTCTAAGCACCAGACACCAGAGCAACAAGCGAGCAGTTTTCCTACCGTCAGGAGCGTCTTGCCCGCCTTGAGGGCAACCTTTTCTCTAATAATTCCCAAAACTGGGAAATGCAAATGCAGGTCAAACAAGTCACATTTTCAACAACATCTGATTTTACATTTTTCAAAAATTACCGAAATAAGACAATATTTTACAATAATTTACAGACAAAAAAATTGAAAAAATGTGTTCCTTCCTACCAGAAAATCTGACTTTTCCCCAAACATTGTACACATTTCCTCGGAAGGGGGTCAGCCTCAGTGATGACTTGAGTCCTACAGAAGAATGAAAAGCAGTTAGAACTGTAAAACTAACTGTTGAATTAAACCATTTATTTTAAAAGGTCCCATGTCATGCTTTTCCGGTTATTACCCGTCCCCTTGTGTGTTATGAAGGTTTTTCTGCAAACCCTCAAAGTACACCCTGTAACGAGTAAAACTCTATCACAGAAAATACCTGTCTATGCTGCCCCAGAACGCCTCGTTGGAGATTTCGCTTTTTCTTCCTGGGTACAGTGACGTGCCCATACCCAAATGGACCCATTGGTCTAAATGGACCAATCCGAGGAGCCGTTACTAAGCCGTTACTTCCTCACACACACTCAATCTTTTCTCAGCTGCAGCTCCGTCGATTTCTCCTCCCTGAGACGGTGGGACGCCGCGAGGCTGTGAGTCGGTGTGTGAGCACTCACACAAACTCCCAGCCAGGCTGCGGGTGTGTGTGTGTGTGTTCGGGCTGGTTTCGGGCTGGGTTTCGCTGTGTCTCGCAGACGCCCACTGGGCTCACAGGGAAGGGGGGGCAGGAGCTCCAACAAGCCGTTTAGGACAGAGAGTGAATACACATACTATACAGAGATGCTGTATGAGAAACCAATGTGAGTTTGGAAAATTGCACAATATAAATGTATTTTAGTAGATCTCAACAATGGATTTATGATCAGTAGAAATGGCCATGACATGGGACCTTTACATGATTAATTCCTGAAGGGGAAAACTGGCAGCAGGTTGTCATACAGTACATGCATCCTATGGGAGGACAGATTGTTTCACAGCAACAGCAGACAATTACTTTGGGACCCCAGTTGTCTCCATATTTGGAGGGAAAGGCGGCTTATGTAATCCTCATCAAACACTGCCAGCTTGTATCTGGAACTTGTCACGTGTAACGGTCAAAAAAGGGGGGAGAATTACTTTCCATCTCACCTTTACAGCGGGTGACAAATAGAGGCCTCTCGAGGGGTCTGTTGAAAGCCACGCGCTGCTGGGTGAGAACCAGAGAACCAGACCCGGAGAAGAAGCGCCCTTTGCACCTGAAACACAGAACACATGCACATTACACACATGGTGAGAAAGTGAAGTTGAGAGCAAGCCAAATGTGTGTGCTACATTTTAGCTTTGGCTCGAAAGTTGTTACTCTTTCAGCTCCCCACAGGAAACAGGACACTGTTGGTAAATGTGCTGCTAAAACTGTAAAACTGTGGAAATGGTAAATCTGCACTTGTGTCTCATCAACAGGTGTAAAATATTATGTTCTTGGTTAAAGGGTAAGGAGGTGTAAGAAGCAACTCAAAACACACATTTGAACATGAGTTTATAAAAAGGTCCAAACACTATCCAGTGGATGATCTGAGAGGGGGGGCTTAGCAGAGGTTCATATTAGGCTGCCCACCGAGGCATGATGTCTAAATGGACCCGGTCCAAAGGGAAGGAGACCCCTCTGTGTACATGGCAACTGCATGGCCAACAGCCTGTTACTGTGCTGCCAGGAGGCAGCTGGTGATAGAACACAAGATGCCCCGAGGGGCTTTACAGCAATCAGCAGCCGATAGCAGCCCAACAGCAATTAAACTGCAGGGAGGGAGATGAGGCCGGGGAGGGAACTGTGGTCAAAAGGTTGAGTGTGGACACAAGAGGAAACCTGGGGGGCTCAACTAGGAGAGGGACCATAGGGAGAGGGTCTCACCATCCAGGGTAGAGGACGTAACGGGCCCTTAGCATCTGAGGCTCATTGAAGCTGCTCTCAGACAGTATCAGATTCACATCTTCATTCCTACAGTAAGTGATACAAAAAAAAAAGCACAATGAATACGTAGCACGTACAAAAACATTAAAAAATGATTACTATATAGCAGTTGTGAGAAAATAGAGACAAACATATGTTATCTGTGACTCAACACTGTGTGTGTCATTTATTAATACAGCTAAAAAATTAAAAGGAAAACCATTGACAAATATTACTCTTAACACTATGTTTCCATGGTAACACAATGACACTGTCCAACTGTTACTGTTTTGGTGTGAAGGTAAATCATCAGAGAAAAGGAACGTACGTTGATGGTGGTGTTTACACACAGACAACGGTTAATAAGATGCTTGGAGTTCGTAATAACCAAATTAAACTTAAATGAATATTGACATTTTGTTTTAGGTACAGAATGCAGTAGGAAATGTTGACACATTGTTTTCAGTGGTCTGATCCAACAGATTCAGACAAAGACTCAAAAAGCGGATAATAATACAGCCTGGAGTGATTCTTTTCTAGTCAAAAATAAAAGAAGTGAAATGGCTGTTTGCGGCATTGATCATGATTCTGTGGGCTCCTACCTGGTGACAGCTCCTCTCTCTGCCAGTATGAAGGCAGCGGTGGGGTTGGCAGAGCGTACCAGCTGCTGAACATGCTTCATGAGAGGGTGCTTCTGCTCTGCTGTCAGCCCGGTGAACACCACTGTACTCGCAATACCTGACATACAACCAGGGACAAGAAGAGAATATGAATTCCAGGAGTAACTGGAATACTTTACTGATAATACACAATTACCTCTTTGTATCCACTGCAGGGAATGAATGCCACAGTGAAATACGGTAAGAGTGGTTTATTGGCATTGCTGCTGCTGTGTTGTACAAACAAGCAGATTTTGTCATTGGTTTTACTTCAAAAACGATTATTAAGATACAGAAAGTAAAGATAAATAATTATTTGACTGTCAGATTTCCTCCCTGCGGCCATAGGAGGAAGCGGTTGGTGCAATGGGCAATTAGACCTTCGTTTGCCATTTAAGTCGGGTCAAGTCATTTTCATTTTATTTGATATAAGTGCTAACAAATACCAGTATTTTTTTGTATTCTCCCAATCTTTTTCTTATATTTGTTTAATGCTAAATGGAGCACATAGAAGAACATAGACCTTTTAATAATAATAATAATACATGGGACTTTTATAGCGCTTTTCATGAAACTCAAAGACGCTTTGACAGAGAATTAAGAAAAGACAAAAAAAAAAAGACAAAGAAATACAAAAAGAGTTAAACAAAACAGAAAATAGGGGGGGAGGGGGGTGGTCAGTGGTTGAATGCAGTGTTGAACAGGTGGGTTTTGAGTGATGTTTTGAATGCTGTGAGGGAGGAAGAATCTCTGATGGATTGGGGTAGTGAGTTCCAGAGGGTGGGTGCAGCAACGGAGAAGGCTCTGTCGCCCCAAGACTTTTAATGTTATTTGTTGACATTAAGTTACAATTATGCTTTCAACTTGACTTAGTTACCAACAATCATTACTTTCTTGACCTTCAATGGTTTTATATGTGGCAACATGGCATATGTTTGGAATGGCTATGTTGAACTGGTTCAATAAGAGCTTTTCACTTCTGAAAACAAATCAATAACAATGAATATCAATCTGATGTTTCCACAGTATCATGTGAAAGCAGTTTTGACAGGACTTACCTTGGCTGCACTGCTCCAACAGCTTAGGGAATGTAAATCTGCAGTAACAGACAAGGGACATAATACAAATAATATAAATATACAGTATATTGTCAAATGCACATTTAGTGGCCTAAGATTGTTACTTCTGCATTCAGGATAGATTATGTTGAAATTAAGTTTTTTCTTTACATGTAAGAGATGTGTTTTTATTTAATTAACAGGCCTCTTTATTTAAACCCATGCCAATCACTCTATGTATCCCTAATGGGTGGTTGCTAAAGTAGGGCAGCAATAAACAGTCTGATTCCATGTTATGGCCCTTGGCTAGCAGTCGAGTTATCAATCGAGAGGCATTTTTCACAGGATGACATCATGACAATGTCTGGCAACTGGCCAATGTGAAAGCTTTCTGTAATCTCATTTGATCTAAACATAATTTATCCTGAGTTTTCAAATCGATCAGTGTTATACACCACTTTCTGAATAGCTCTCATGAGCCAAGTCCGCCTCCAGCCCACACGGACCCTCCCCTGCAGCTCTTAGGGCCTGCAGGCAGAGAGGGGGGGGGGGGGATCAGCAATTTGAAAGGCATTCATCTTCCCTGTCCTGATGTAATGAACTGTCTACATTCATCACAAAGAATGGATCACGACTGACTGATGAGCTTCAGTGAGGAGGGTGAGTTGGTCGCACACGTGGACCTGGGGGGATTAAAAGGCTCTTCTGGAGGGGTTGACGGGTGGGTCAGGTCTAAGCTGGGCTAACCACACCCAATTAGCACCACAGTGGGGGCCCGCAGGTCTCCACTCAATCTATGGCAACAGACAGTGATGGGGGGCTTGTTGAAGATGCCTCGCATGTATCAGTCAGCGCTAACCACATTACTAACTAAACCTCTTATTACACATTTTTCCACTGCGCAGCCAAGTGGGGCTTTCAGAGTTAAACTATAGGGTTAACACGACTTGTTATAGCAAAGGATGCTAAACATGTTTGAGATTTGTTATTAAAGCTTTGCTCGCTAGAAAATCCAGTTTCCGTATATTCTATTGGATTTATCATTGTTGTTATATATATATATAGAGTATATAAGGGCCACTTACTGTACGTGCATGTATATATTTGAGAAAAGATGTTTATGTTGGCATGACAGTCATGCCAACATAAACATCTTTTCTCAAATATATACATGCACGTACAGTAAGTGGCCCTTATATACTCTATATATATATATAACAACAATGATAAATCNATAGAAAAATACTGTGCAATTTTCCAAACTCACATTGGTTTCGCATACAGCATCTCTGTAAAGTATGTGTATTCAGCAGTATTCACTTTCTCCACTAAACCGCTCGCTGCACGCTCCCCCCCCCCCTCCGTGATTTCCTTGTTTAGCGATACAGAGCCAAACACAACCTGAACACACACAAAGTCACAGCCGAAATAAAAACAATAAGTGTGGTTTGATATTGAGTAAGAAAAAGGTTTATAGGTTGATAAACGCTGTGAGAATGGGTCTGCAGAGAGAATTTATCCGCGATCCCAAATGTCAGCCTGCAGCAGGGAGCAGAAATCAGCAGAACTGCCTGCACTGAGTGTGTGTGTGTGTGTGTGTATTGGTCAATTTGGACCAATCAGCGGGGGCTTAACGTAACGGCTCCGCGGACGTAACGTAACGGCTCCACGGATTGGCCCATTTAGTTCCGGGTACGTGCTTTCGTAAGCATGTACCCTGAAGAATCAAATGGATCATGACGTTTCACCAACGAGGCGTTTTGGGGAGGTATTTTCTGTGTTAGAGTTTTACTCGCTACAGGGTGTACTTTAAGGGTTTTGACTCTGCACACCGTTTACATTCAGAAAAACCTTCATAACACACAAGGGGACGGGTAATAACCGGAAAAGCATGACATGGGACCTTTAACAGAAAAAGTCATTTTTAAAAACCAGCTGCTCAGAGGTTCCAATTAAAAATTCCACTTCCTTGTTTTTCCTTCTTTGGCTTTGTTGTTTGTTTTCGATTATTTTACAAGTTTGTTTGCTCTCCTGCAGATGGCACTGTGTCCTCAGACAGCTGCTACACCGTCCTGACGACCACCGTGCCCCGCTATGCCTGCTGGCTGGTATGTGTGGGTCTGAATCATTACTCCACATGGTCCTTATGCAGAATGTTAACCTTTTTTAGTGTCAACATAAAAGCATACATAGTTTGGGTATACATGTTAACAGTTAGTTCTTTAATGTCCTTTTAGTGTGATAAACCTGCGTGATATAAACTGAACTGTAATTTTGCAAAAACACAAATGTTTCGTTGTCTTCTATCCAAAAGACACAATGTTTTATCCTTAGTTTTAGGAATACATATTTTCCAACACTGTTTGTTTCTTGTTGTTCTTAGATGGAATCTGACGTCAAGCAATCGGAGGAAGCCCAACATCTTGCTAAGGTCAGTTCAGAAGCTCCATGTTTAGTATGAATACATGTTTAGTTATGTGACCTCATCACTTACAATACGTGTCTTTAACAGAAGGAGGAAGCCACTTGTTTGGGAACGGCTTTGACTGTAGCAGACGCAGCCTACGTGTTCTCCAGCAGCCTGCTCTCCTCACCTGAAGAAGGTGACACTCCCCTTTTATATTCATATCCAGTAACTATACATGATCTTACATTCTTAGATTGTTTCACTTAGCCTGAAATCAATTGCCAAAGTTAAGTTATTACGCTGCCCCGTGAATAAGACTATTTCATGGATTAATTTCTGTTTGAATGTGACAGTAAATGTACAAGATGTTCTTTGACTTTCAAGTATTCTGGTAATGGCATTCCTTATCTGACTAATAGTTGTGATTCTGCATGATGCTTAACATTTCTTAAAATGTGTATCTTAGGAAAAATCATTTTCTTCTCTGAGGGACTCTTGTTCGTCCATTCTCAATATGGAAGCATTACCCTGTCCAAGGATCACATCAGCACCATCAAGTTCTATGATCCGGTAATATTTACAGTCATGTCTCACATTTCTACTCAAGATCTATTTTGTTGCTATACTGTAGTATAGTAATGATAAAAAAAATGCTCAGATATTGACATGCTGCCCTTCAAAACAAGGATACAAATATACTATGAATCCATAAGCGGTTGAATTTCTGGTTCCAACTTGTGAATGATTTCTGTGTGTTTTTATTCCCAGGACTCCAGTGCTGTGGCGTCTCTCCTGGTGGAGTATAAGAGCAGCCTGCTCCCCCACCTCCCCTTCCCCCTGCACAGCGCTGACCGTTGTCTGGTGTTTGCTCTTCAGCCCAGGTCCAAGAGCCACAGGGCCTTCTATTCCAAGGTGAGACTTTAACCAGTGACCTCTGACAAGGTAGGAGATAGGATATAGCCCTGGGTCATCAGATGCAGTCTCTCACCATGTCTGTGTATTAGTATTCTAAAGCACACCACTGGTAAAAACAGTTAATAGAGCAGTATCCTTTTAAAACACTATTGATTAGCAAGCATTAACTATTGTTAGGACTTTTTTTATTGTGAGCTGTGGATGTTGTGGTTTTGTGTTGATTTATGGATGATCCATTACTGTTTATATCTACTTCTTTAATATAAGCTCATTACAGAGCTCCAGTTGTATGAACGTTATCTCTCTCTGTTTCAGGTTCTGTCGGTGTGGCAAAACTCTAAATCTGATCTCCCTCTGCAAATGGTGGACCAAAAGCAGCTGACCTGGAACCAGAAAAATATGTAAGACCCCCTTTAAATTTTAATATTAGTTGTTTCTATGCTAGATTGCACATTCCTTTGAGAACAGAAAGTGTTTCTTGCCTTGAAATATCACACTTTCAGAAAACATTGATGCGCTATGCAGACTTTTTTAATGGGTTTCCGATACCATTGGTGTTTTATGTTTAATCAAGCTTCAATATTTTGATATCCTATATGCTTTGCGATACACATCATTATCCATTTTTTATTACATATTTTGTAGATAAATTCAAATATTAAATCAGTCTTTGAGATGCGCTATAAAGTAGGTATTTAAGGTTAACTATCTGCATGAAAATCACAATATAGTAATGTTGTAATACTTTTCCCTCTCAGGCACAGCAGACTGCAGAAGCTGCACGACAGTCAGGAGCCTCCTGTGGCCAAACGCAGAGGCAGCCTGAAGACTTCCTACTCCCAGCTGCCAGAGCAGGACATGTCAGTACACACTCACAAGTCACACAGCTTCACAGTTGGAACAAAAAAATATAAAGCCTGATGGGTATTCTTAATAACGCCTTCCCAAAATAGCATTTCGAAAGTATGCAAGTCAATGAAGCTTCATTATCTGGCACCCACATTGTCTTTCGTACCATTAAAGCTGAAACTAAGAAGACCACATGCGAGGTTAACTCAGCTTCTTGGTATTCACAGATCTGTCTTCTGGTTTAATGAGACATCCAACTGTCCCAAATAAACATACTGTACAGAACTGATTTTGTGCTTTTTATATAAATGTTGTATTAATGTTGTATTTTATTACAAAAACAATGATCTAGTCTTGCCATTCAGTTGTGACCTGATTTCTGCTTACTGATGTTGTTTTCTTGTCTATGTCAGGTTTTTACAACACTTCGCCTTGAGTAGCATCGGTCAGGAGCCCATTCTGTACGACCACCTGGGGGTGCTGTTCCCCTCTGCAGAGCTGAGGAACCCAGTCAGCAGTCTGGGAGACAAGGTAAGCATACTGATTAAGGCGAAGCGGAATAAAAAAACATTTCTGGTTGCTTAAAAGGATTCTTCATACTCTAATTTAATTGATTCAAATCTAATGTGTTTATTTTCATGTGTAAAAAGGTTGTGGTTACCATCATCACTGGATTACCAGGAAGCCATAAGGAGAGGCTCTGCAACTACTTGGTCCAGTTGAACAAGGAGCGTGGAAGGTGAGAGACAATTCATCCACCATTTTACATTTTGTTTGTGTGTCTTACCTTACATATGTTGTAGGTATTTCAGGATATTAGGGCTGTACCCGAATATCCGAATATTCGGTCGTTGGCCCACTTTTCGGTTTTCAATTTCGTTATTCGTTTTTCGCACTACGGCTGCCAAATTGAATTTATTGAAATCTCCAATATCAACGTAAGAGCTTGTGCCTCTTCGGGGGATGCTAACGCGTAACCATAAAGTTTATCGTTGACTTTCTCCGTCTTTATATGTAGATATTACTTTTCTCCGTTAATCTCCGCTCCTTTTGTCCGTCACGTTGTTTCCATAGCAACAACAACTTCCTGTCAACAGGGCTAACTCTCCTTCAAAATAAAAGCATGTACATACAAAATAGGAAGCCAAGCCGAATAAAACTTGAGACATATATACAACTGCAACGAAAGTAACAAACACAATGCAATATCCTTTTCAATTTCAAAGAACACAAATTGGGTTATTTACATTAACAAATAACTATAAAACAACAATACTGTAGAATAACAAAATGAATGCCTTGAATAAACCGAAATACACGTGTTGAAGCGCGCGCCGAATATTCGCTGCTGATTACTACCGAATATCCGGAGCCCGAAAAATGGTATTCGGGACAGCCCTACAGGATATAAGAATATTGAGACAACCACTAAACGGCAAATATTATATTTCTCTTTCGTCTGTAGGTGGGTGGTGTACAAGCCTGACCCTGACAGCTTTGACAGCTTCTCAGCCTCTCACCTGCAGCAGTATCTGTCCGGCTTCCTGGAGAGCCAGAGAGGCCCGGGAGGCAAACCCCGTCTGCTGGTGCTCTCACCTGGGTAAGATATCTTATCTCACGTTCATCATCCCATGTCTTGAATACCAACAATTTCATCCCAGTCCATAAAACCGAAAGCCTATTGCATTGCATTGTAAGGATACACAAATGGTTAGGGTATTTGAATTGGGTAATATGCTGACATTGGCACAACATTAAGCCCATTCCATGCAAATGAGCCTCATAACAGTGTAATTCACAATGATTAGTGCTAACAGCCACATGCCGTTACAGTGAAATGATACGCATCTTTAGAGAAACGCTGTTAGCCATTTAGAAGGGATGTCACACACACACACACACACACACACACACACACTGGCCAAGTTTGTGCTGTATGTGTAATATTTTCTGGTAACTGGATCTTGAGATGGCACACAATTCAGTCCATTCTTTTTGACCTTGAATTCATTTCTGTTCATGGTAATTTGTCAATATGTTCTACTTGTGCAGATACACAGACGTTCTGGATGTGGTCCAGGCTGTTCTCTTCCATCCTGACCCTGTGGTGCAGGCGTGTTTCACCATCGGTGCTGTCACTGCTTGTGTGGACCCCCTCGCCTCCTGTGTGGAGCATAGGTGAACATTTCTTCCTCCAGTTCATTATTCTCTCATCTATGTTTTTTAAAAGAAAGAAGGAAACAAGAGGGCATTGACTGCCATAAAGAATTGTATGAGATCATTTCATGTCCACTGACTTCTAGCTACTTTTGTTTCTGAGTTACCATTTACCCAAAGTGAGCAAAGTTCAATGTCTAACTGAAGTAGATAATATTCCTATCTGACTAGATTGCCAAACGGACTGGAAAATTGCCTTTTCATAAACTAGAAAACTAAGTGAAGTGTGATGGATGACGAAAAGACCAAGCAAAGACGTCAGTGTACAATTTAAGGTGCATCTCATCATTCATGCAGAACTAAAGCTTCTGAAATGGTTTTGTTTGCTGTGAAAAGTAAAAATCAAATGACTTTCAACTTGCATATTTTGAAATTCAGCACAGGATAATGATAACATTCTGCAAGAAGCAAACTATACGCTTTATGCTTCCTGTTTTATGACAACATTTTTAACAGTTTGCCCGTGACTAGAAGGGTTCTTGTGACCCCTGTTTGCAAATGTAGTTGCATGCAGGCAGCAGCTAATGTTATGTTATCCTGTCTTGTCCTATATTGCAAAGTTAAATGGCCAAAAAAACACAGCAACAACAGAACCTGAGTTCAAGTGGATGGTTTACTTTGTTTTTCTGGGACATATGGACGGACCAGAGGATGACAGACAGGGCCGGATGTTGGTAAATTGTGTAAGCGCTGGTGGTTTTCAGGACGAGGTTACATGACACTTTTAGCTATTAAAACTCAAGGCTGGGTCCCTTTTTACGGAGAGGATCAGTCCTACTGTACATTTAATCTCACTCTCCTTTTGTTACAGGCTTTAGATGTAGCTTACAGAGCTTCTCACTGTGGAAGATTGACTGAGCTGCTCCACACAATATGACATACCACTCGGGGTAATAGGCGGTTTTCCACTGCACAGCCAAGCTGCGCTGCCCGCTGAAACTTGCATACAGATGAAGTCAAAGGGTCTACTTTTTCCAACATGCTTGGAAAACTACTGCTGTTATCTCGATTCATTAGCAATTTAATACAAAAGATAGTGCTGTTGATCCAATGTAAATTCCTTGGCCACTTATTCTGCAAGGATATCATAACAGGGTATTACAATCCAAATTGCATCTTTAGCGCTCAAATACAGACTTGATAAATTCATACTATAACACTGCAATAAGTACATACAAAACTTCTCTACAAGCTAATACGGTACAAAACTTGTTTCAATCCAAGCTTGCAGACTCCCAGCATCAAGTTACTGGTATAACGCAGATACACTCTTATGGACATAACACACTAAAGGCTGCGTAATGTCACTATCACGTGTCGTAATAATAACAGAAACAGAAACATACATTTAGCATAGCCCAATAATATCAATATAAACGGAACTACAGAGACACAGTGGAATTAATTTAAATAGTATTCAAAGCAAATGCAATCTGTCATGCCAACATAAACATCTTTTCTCAAATATATACATGCACGTACAGTAAGTGGCCCTTATATACTCTATATATATATATACTCTATATATATATATATATATATATATATATATATATATATATATATATATATATATATATATATATATATATATATATATATATATATATATATATATATATATATACTATATATATATATACTACTACTACTACTACTACTTACTACTACTTACTACTACTACTACTACTATACTACTACTTATACTACTACTTACTACTTACTACTACTACTACTACTACTACTACTACTCTACTACTCTACTCTCTCTCTCTCTCTCTCTCTCTCTCTCTCTCTCTCTCTCTCTCTCTCTCTCTCTCTCTCT